TTGTTATTTTATACTAAATTTCAAGCATTTCCTATTAAATGTGGAAAATGTGCTTTTTCCCCTAACCTTACCCTGAGTATTTTGCTATTCTTAGCCCATGTTTTGAAGTATTCTCTATCTAAAAAATTGGGAAGAATGGGCTTAGATCCGTTAGCATAATTTAATAATCCATCTTAGGTTGCTTTGTAAGTATTTTCCACCCATTCTCTGAATAGTGTTTGGGGTAAATAAAGTTTGACCTTTGTAACGCAGGACTGGGCAGTGTTTCGTTCTGTTGTGCATAAGGTTGCTATGAATCAGAACCGACTCAATAGCACTTAACAATAGCATTCCCGTATGGCACTATAGGACAAACACTGGACTGCTGACCTCAGGGTCAGTAGTTCAGATCCAATAGCTCTTCCTTGGAAAGCCTATATATAGGATTGCTGTGAACCTGAACTGACTCTATGGCACTTAACAACAACAAATAGCAGCAATCCTGGTGTGATGCTCTGGATAAGCACTGGATTGCTAATCACAAGGTCAGTGGTTCAAACCCACCACCCACTCTATGGAAATCCTATTGCAGGTCGCTATGAGTTGGAACTGACTCAACCGCAATTAACAATAATAACAACATCCAATAGGAGAAGAGCCTTGGTTGCTCTAGGATAAGCATTGGACTTCTAAGTGCAAGGTTGTCAGTTGAAACCCACCAGCCACTCTGTCGGAGAAATATGTGACTTTTAAAGGTTTACAGTCTCAGAAACTCTATACAGGGACGGCCATCTAGTAGGAAGTGGGTCTTATTTAATTCTCTTATCTTCTAAATCAAAAAGTCAAGACATTGCCATCGAGTCGATTTCGGCTTCCGGCAACTCCACATGTAGCAACACTGTACTCCTTAGGCTGGTTTTTTTGTTTTTTTGTTTTTTTTTGTACAAGTAGATAGCCCAGCTTTTCTTCTTAGGCACCTTTGGACAGACTCTAACTCCCAACCTTTCTGTTAGCTACTAATCACATCAACTGTTAGCATGATCCAAGAGCTCTATAAACACCAAATCCACTGCTGTCGAGTTAATTCCAACTCATAAAGACCTTATAGGATGGAGTAGAATGGCCCTGTCGGGTTGCTGAGGCTGTAAACCTTCATGGGAGCAGACTGCCTCATCTTTCTCCCATGAAAGATGAGTTTGAACTGCTAGCCTTGTGGTCAGTAGTCCAGTACTTAAAACACAGCACCTGTAGCGGTCTTATCCACTAAATGCTGTCAAGTGCTGTAGCATCAGTCCACAGAGCGACCCTGTATAGGGTTTCTGAGGCCCAGCTGATCCGTTTGAACAGCCGGGATTGAAGTAGGCACTTCAGCAGTTATTCTACAGCATCCCATCAGGACCTTATGCACGAAATTGTGGTTATGAAGTGCCATCGAGTCAATCCCAGCTCCTCGTGACCCCGTATAGGGTGTCTGAGGAGCAGCTGGTGGGATTGAGCTTCTGACCTTGTGGTTCACAGTCCAATGCAGATCCTACGGCACCACACCGAGAGTCCATGCACTAAAGAATAGGTCAAAAACAATAACACCATGATACGAATCGAAGGAATCAGTTAATCCAATGGATTAATGGAATATGTAAACATCAGTGTCGTGACTTTAAAGAGCAGAAAAACTAGACAGTGTGTGACTACCAATACTAACCCCCTGAAAGGGAACACATTAGAGGGTCTCGGAAAGAGTGGGAGAAAATGTGAAACAAAGTCAAAATTATTTAATTAAAAAAAAAAAGACTAGGTTTACTGGTTAGAAAGTGACTGGAGAAACCTGAGACTGTGTCCCTCGACCACCTTTCAGGTCTGGAAAGGAACTCAATTTTCAGTCAAGAAGTAGATTTTATAGTTTATAGAGGGGACAACAACACTAGTGAGGTATGCTCACCATGGGATGATGGTCAATTGTTCAAAATCCATAGGGCACCATTTTCCTGAGGACCAAGTTGAAAAGGGCTGGGGAGGTGGGTGGAAGGGAAACAGGAACCCCAGGGAGGCAGCGGGAGAACTTTTGTTGCATGGAGAGGATTGCAGTCATTGAGATGAAGCAAAATGTATGGTTTGTTGAATATAAAGCTGATGATCACTTCTGTCAACCTTCATTCAATTCACAATAAAAAGTTTAAAATGAAAAAAAACCAATCTCCACCATTGGGAAATAGCCAAGGGCAGGTGGGTTGTGGTCCCCTGAGAATATTAGAGCTTCCAGGTAGTGTTAAGTCCTGGCAACTGATGAGCTCTCCATCTGCACAGAGACCATGCCTTTCGTGTTGCATTTGGGCTCCTCCTCATTGATTTAGCAAGTTTAAATGGTTTAAATTCTAGAGAAGACTTTGTGTGTGTGTGGTTGTTTAATTTGCTTTGAACAAGAGCCAGGAACTTAGGGCTTTTATTCATTTGTTTGTTTGTTTTATTATGAGGGCCTGTGTGCAGTCAAGAGGCCGTGGTAGAATGGTTGAAGCACTTGACTGCTACAAAAGGCCAGCGGTTTGGGCCCACCAGCTGCCCGGTGGGAGAACGATGAGGCTGTCTGCTTCCAGAAAGATCTGTGCTCTCGGAAACCCCACTCCTCCTGTGACCTCCAGGGTTTCTGTCATTTGTCATCAACCTGACAGCAGTGTGCTTGGTTTGGGTTACCTGTATGGTGGTGGTTGGTGGTTATGTGCCGTGGAGTCCGTTCCAACTCTTAGTGACCCTATTTCCAAGCCCGTAAATCTTTACGGGAGCAGAAAGCCTCATCTTTAGCCCACGGATCAGCTGGTAGTTTCGAACTGCTGACCTTGCGGTTCACAGCCCAATTCGTAAATTTCTAACCACTACGCTACCAGAGCTCCTCGGGTTGCCTGTATAATCAGCAATATTTCTAGGATCCCATTTCTTTTTCTGCTTCCTTCTAGGTGAGGTAGCTTTTGAACCTAGAAAAACATTTGCTTCCTGGGGTGCTGGGTGGTAGTGATGAGAAGGTGCCCAAGTGACTGGAGAGGTGCCTTGTCAGTGAACCCCATCTTAGAAAGGGGACGGTGGTTGCAGCGGGGACCTGCTCACATGTCTGTAGCGGTTGGTTCTCTCTGCTCCACCCTAGTGACATCGTGGCCTCCCGACCCTATGTGAGGAGGGACTGTCCTGTGTCCTGTATCTTGTAGGGTATTTAGCAGTGTTCCTAGCTTCTCCCTACTAGTTGCAGTGACCAGCATATCCCCCAACGCTGTCAAATCCCTGATGCAAACAACAGCAGTACAGACGCACAGCCTCCGAGTCAGTTCTGACTTAAAGTGACCCCATAGGATTGAGGAGAACTGGGCCATAGGATTCCCAAGGCTTTACAGAAGCTGACGGCTGCATCCTCCTCCCGCAGAATGCCTGTAAGGTTCAAATCCCTGACCTTTCAGGGAGCCGCTCAGCACTTATCCACTGTGTCAGGGTTCCCTAAATACCCCACAGTTGAGATACCCAATGATAGCCCTGCAGACTTTCAAGTGTAGCGCTATAGGATAAGCAATGAACTAACCTCCAGGCCAGTGGTTCAAATCCACCAGCTGCTCCTTGGAAACCCTATACAAGGCTGCTGTGAGTTGGAACCAACTCAACAGCACGTAAGACCAACAACAGGTACATGCAAAACTGTGAGTGTTCACCAGGTGGAATCATCTCCTGAGCCACTTTCCCCTCAAGCCGGCCGTGACAGTGAGCTTTCTCATCGTTAACCTCGGCTGAGATGAAACATTCGCTTAGAAGGTGTCTGGACCCTGATTGCTAGACCCTGATTGCTAGAATCTGTGCCGGATTGAACTCACCTCTATCTGTGCCTTGTCTCAGGTTACTTGGTTTCCCCCCGAAGCATTGACCGTCAAAAAACCCTGGTGTAGGACGCCTTAATTTGTCTTGGTTCAAAAGCTCCCTGCTCCCTTTTTTGGGGGGCTGTCCATTTTCATTTTGTTTTGTTTCCAATCACATTTCTCAGAATATCTCAGTGTCCTCACGCGGCATGCCTTGTCCCCTCATATGGGCAGAGTGTCATTCATGACCCACATCCTAGATCTCATTTATGACTCAAAATGATCCATTAGCACAAAACATCAGCCACCTAATAGTCATGTTTTGGTTCCTTCAACTCCAGGCAAAGTTTCTTTCCAGGGAATCGGAAATTTGTAACTTACCTTGTAGATCACAGCTTTCAAAGTCATCCTTTTCTCCATTCTCTGTAACTTGGGATTTTTCGCTCCAAATAAACTGCTCTTTTCTTTTATTCCCTCCCAATTTCATAGGTAGGGGTGGGTTGAGACTAGGAGTGAGGGTTTGGTCTCTTCATTTAGCAGTTCTATGACTCTTCCCTCCAGTACCAAACGTGATTAAAATACAGCTGGAGGAATGAACAGAAGTCAGCTCGCAGTCATGCGCTAACCACAAAATCTTTCTAAGAAGAATGGCTAAGTCACAGATGGGGGTGTGTTTGCCCTTATGTCAGCCAAGATGTTGTAAACAAGCAGCGGTACCTTAGAAATGTTACAATTAATCGCTTCTATATCAGCAGTTAGTCAAGGGAACCAGAGGTAAGGAGAACCAGGCAGTTGAAGACAGCACAAGAGATAAGAGATTTCATGTTATGAAACACTGGTGTCAATTTCTTTTCCAGAGGGAATGGATTAAAGCTGCTTGGAAGGAAAATATGTGGAAATATGATGACCGAAGAGCAGGAAAATTAATATGTGTGTCACTGTTATCATACAAAAGCAAACCGAACACACACATTCACACACACACACACATTTATCCATTGTTCCTATTGAAATACACCCGCAGGTAACTTGAAGCATAATTTATAAGCACGTCAGAGGAGGAAAATCAAGATAGGCGACTTCTGTTTTCAATATATTTTTTAAGCTGTTTATGTTTAATTTTCTACAGTTTCTAAAATACTAATGGTTTCTAGATTTTAATGAGATTTTGTTTTGTTTTGTTTTTCCTTTTAGCTTGAAGAAGAATTCCAAAGAAAGGCCAACGTATCCAGAGCTTATGGTAAGTATTGTTAAGTAGGGTTGTTGTTGTTGTTAAGTACTGTCAAATTGGTTTCAACTTATAGTGACCCTGTGTAGGGTTTCGGAGGCTGTAAATGTTTTGGGGAGCCTCATCTTTCTCTTGGAGCATCTGGTAGGCTCAAACCGCTGACCTTCTTGTTTGCAAGCCAAGGCTTCCTCTGCAGAGCCACCATGCTCCTTATAAGCAAGGCAAACATGTCCAAACCAGTAGCTAGAGAAGGTCAAACATCAGAGATCTAAATGATAATGTTGTTAAGTCCTTTGATTTGGTCCCAGAAGAACAAACAAATCTGTGTTGGAAGAAGTGCTGCCTGAATGCTCCTTAGAAGCCAGGATAGCCAGACTTCATCTCTCATACCTCGGACGAGACTAGTCCCTGGAGGAGGACATCATGCTTGGTAATGTAGAGGGACAGCAAAAAAGAGGAAGACCCCAAACAAGATGGACTGACACAGTGGCAAAAAGAATGAACTGAAACGCACCAACAATTGTGATTTTGGCTCAGGACCAAGCTATTTATTTCATTCTCTTGTGCATAAGGTCACTATTACTTGGAACTGACTCAATGACACCTAAAAACAAGAACCAGGAGTCACAAAATGCCAAGGAGAGAATCTTGAAGTCCTTTCTGACTGCTCAAGTTTTTATAAAATATCTAGGAGCCAGTGGATGAACATTTTTGGTGTGGTTTCTGCATTATATTAATGGTTATGGAAAACAGAATCCTATTGCTTTCTCCGTCTAGCTAAAACCTATTCATTTGAATTGTATGGCCTCCCCACTCACAGTTCATCATTTGCACAATCTGTAAAGAGACCTGGTGGCGCTGTAAGATAAGCACTAGACTGCTAAATGCTAGGTTACCAGTTCAAACCCATCAGTTGCCCCTCAGTAGAAAGACGAGGCTTTCTGTTCCCATAAAGATTTTACAGCCTCAGGAACCCTATACAGGAATGCTAAGAATTGGAATTGAACCAATGGCAGCGGGTTTGGGATGCGAAACTAAAACAAAAAACCACATCCAATGCAGGGAATCAATTCTGACCCCTAGTGGTTCTAGAGGACAGACTAGTCCTATGTAGGGTTTCCAAGGCTGTGATTTTTAAGGAAGCTGACTCGCATGTCTTCCTACTTCAGAACAGCTGGTGGGTTTAAACCCAGACCTTTTAGTTTGCAGCTGAGCTCGTTAACCACCGAGCCAGCAGAACACCTTACTTAGGAAAACGAGGGTGAAAATAAGATCTCAGTTGTTGTTTTAAAACAGCTTCTTTTAAATTATGATAGCTGCAATTTTAAGTTAATTAAAAATTATCTGTTAGTACAGATTGCAAGAACCTAAACTTGGCAACACTTTGCTGTATCTAAGTCTGGGTTGAATGTGGGAGAAAAATATTTTTTTAGGGGGGAGCAGGTGCAAATATTATGAAGTTTACACTATTTACTAACTCATGTTAACCCTTCCTTAGACTTACCTCCATTAACAAGCTTTTCATTATAGCAACGGAAGGAAAAGTTACGTGTATGCAGAATTTCAAAATTAGAAGAGCAAATGGTGGTTTGCATGTTTTTATTGGATGTCTTCAAATCTGTTTGGACTCATAGTGACTTCAGGTGACAGAGGAGAACTGCCCCATAGGGTGTTCTGGGCTGTCATCTTTATGGGAGCGGATCTCCAAGATGTTCTCCCAGAGAGCATCTGAGTGGGTTTGAACCATTAACCTTTAGGTTAATAGCCACATACCACCAGGGCTCCTTGTGGCCTCCTTACTGGAGTAGAGTTATTCACCCCCATCACACCGATGATTCCTTAAGGACCATCTCAGGGCAGGGCATAGACGCATGCGTTCCTGGCAGCTGTTCAGGAAATGTATAGCAAAATGACTCAGGCATGGAAAAGCAGGTTAGAGACGTGGAGTCAAGAAGAGGTTCCGGAGCTGATTGGAAGGGTGTAAAAATCACGGGGATTTTCTATTCTGTGGGTCATGCTTTGATTTAAGTCTGAATGCTTCTCCAAATGGGATGACCTTGAGAAGAGACCAGACCTGCTCCTTACGCTCCCATGGTGATGGAATTCTCACTTTCCAGGCCGGAGGCCCAGGTTCGATTCCCTGCTGGTATACCTTGTGTGCACCCTGACAGTCAGTGGAGGGTAACATATTGCTAGGATGCTGAAGGGGGTGTCAGCTTCCAGACTAAGAGAGACTAGGAAGAAAGACCTGGCAATCAACTTCCAAAAACCAGGCAGTGGAAAGTCATCCTGGGGACGGTGAAGGCCTGGGCAGTGTCTTGTTCCGCTGTGCTCCTGGAGGAAGACTTCGTGACAGCTAATAAGAACAACAAGGGGCTTCTTGGCATTCATTTTTTCAACTAAGTCCCACAGTTGAAGGAGACAAGATGAAGAATGCTTGAGCAATCTTAGCTTACTACATGTTTAGATGGAATATTTCCACCTTGATTACTTCTTAATAGTCTGTCTATGTTTTTATGACTAGGTACCTTGGTGTGCCATGGAGTCGGTTCCGACTCATAGCGACCCTGTACAAGGTTTCCGAGGCTGTAAATCTTTACGGGAGCAGAAAGTCTCATCTTTCTCCTGCAGAATGGCTGGTAGTTTCAAACTGCTGATCTTAAGGTTCACAGCCCGATTCGTAACCACTATGCTACCAGAGCTCTTTAGAACTTGTTAAATAAATTACACATAAAGTACAGTAGATATAAAGCAATTCTAGGAAAGTCCTGGTGTGGCGCTGTGGGGTAATGCACCAGACTGCAAACCTGTTTGAACTGTAAGGTCGGCGGTTCAAGGTCACCAGAAGCTCCTTGGAAACCCTAGACAGGGTCGCTATGGGTCAGAACTGACTCGTTAGCACTTTGCAACAACAGCAGCAACGTAGGATCATATGGAGCTGGTCATTTTACTTTTGGAGCCTGGGTAACACAAACAGCTTTGTGCATGACTACTAACATAAAGGTTGGTGGTTCAGATCCACTCAGCAGTTCTACAGGAATAATGCCTGATAACTGTCCTTCCATAAAGATTAGCCTGTGAGGCAGTCATCCTCTGTAATTTGGGGCCACCACGAATTGGAGGTCGAGTCAGTGGCATGTAAAAGCAAACACAATTCTGTTTTCACATTGCCTAGTTTTGCCATTAATTTCAGATAAAAGGGGCAACATTCCTAAATATTTGTGACTATTTAAAATACTAAACTACTTTTCTGTCTTCTGAATGGCGAGAAATTCATTGCAGCATGCTTGAGGAAAAGACACCGAGTTCTAGCTTAGTAGACACTGGCAGCCATGTTGTTCACTTCTACTGATCTTTTAGAATATTTCTAGAATGTTCTAACACTGTGGTTTTCAATGGCCAATGAATTAATGCTGTAAGAAAGTGTGGATTCCTTACCCCGTTTCTCATGGCATCAGCCTTTATGATACTGATAGAGGACTTGTCTTTAAGATTAACATGGCTGCGACTTTCCTGCAGATTTGGGACTTTCAAGTGGAAAATCTGAGTTCAAACTCTCTAACCTTTAGCACTGGGAAAACCGATTCTGAGAGGCTACTGCCTCTATTCCAGGAGTTGGTAAGGAAGTAGGGAGGAAAAACCCACTTTCCTAGGGGAAGGACAATTTTACTTTACATCTTACAGAAATCCCCCATGTTGTTCTTCCCTTGGATTGAAGGGCTCATCTACTTTCAGATCACCTCATTTGTCTGTTCAGACTTGCCCCGGGAGACCTGACTCAGTAGGATTTGTTCTTCAAGAACAGGAATCAGCTCATGTTTTCTGTAAAGGGCCAAACAGTGAGCATTTTTGGCTTTGTGAGCCATATGGGACTCATGGTTGGACATTGTAGGATCAGTACAGGACTGTGAACCACAGGGTCAGCAGTTCAGACCTACCAACTGCTCCTTGGAAACCCCATACACGGTCACTGTGAGTTGGAACCTACTCAACAGCACTTAACAACAACAGTTACAAGCCATGAGCATCCCACTCTCTTCTTATAGCATGAAGCAACTGCATTCAATACATAAATGTATAAATGTGTGTGGCTGTGTTCCAAGAAACCGTTCAAAAACGGACGGTAGGTTGGAGTTAGCCCTTGGCCATATTTTGCTGACCTCTGCTCTAGGTGATGGGTCTCTGTTGGCATTGTGGTTGAAGCACACTCGACTGCTAATGAAAAGTTAGCTGTTCGAGCCACCAGACTTTCTCTGGGAAAAAGCTGTGGCCGTCTGCTTCAGGAACGATGTCAGCCTTGGAAACCCTATGGGGTAGCTCTTGTCTGCCCTCAACTCTATAGCAATGGGTTTGGTTTTGTTTTTAATCATAGATTTGACACACACTAGTAGCCTTTGAGCCAGCTCTGTCTCCGGGTGACCCCATGTGTGCCAGAGTAAAGCTGTCTGCCGTAGGGTTTTCTATGGCTGACTGTCTTTCTACCTGTGATTAAAGTTGGACTCGCAACCTTTCAGTTAGCAGTCAAGTGTGTTAACCATTTGCACCGGAAATGATGCCCAGGGGATTCCAGTGATTGCCCAGTGAGGTTGTTCTATAGTCTTCAAATATCCCAGGAAGTCATAGAATGGCAGTGTTGAACAAGGATGCCTGAACCACTTGAGAATCGTAGTTTTGTAATGATGGGTTACTCGTGGGATATGAAGACCATTGCCTATTGGATCTTGCCCGTCTATCCCATATTTTCTTCATGTCCAACTGAAAACAAAACACAAAACAAGACCTGTTGCTATCAAACCAATTGTGATCTTATGTGTCAGAGTAGAGCTGTGTGCCAGAGGGTTTTCAATAGCTAATTTTAGAAGTTGATACCTAGGCCTTGCTTCTCCAATACCTCTGGGTGGACTTGAACCACTAGCCTTTTGGTTAGCAGCAAAGTGCATTAACCATTTGCTCCACCCAGGGACTCCTCATGCATAACAGTGAATTCCAAAGATGGCAAGGTTCCCCTTCCT